GCTGGATTAATGATGAAGTGGTCTGGGTGCAGCTTGTGTGTGTGTGTATGAGAGAGAGCTAGAGACTGAGTGTGTGTGTTTGCGTGTGCTGGTGAGAACTTACTTTTGCCACCAGCTGTGGGCAGTTGTGGGGGTGGTGGGTAGAAATGGGGGAGCCATGCCATGTGTTTATGTTGACTAATGAGCTAATTACCCAACCCCTAATCTACTTCAACTTGTGTCATTTCACAGGAATGCTGCAGCAGTCAAACGCTTGCAGATTATGGGTCATTTCCTGACAGTTAAAGGCAAACTACTACAGCAGTAATTCCTCCACACCCCAGGCATTAAACCACAAGTGCTACAGCCGCTCCATTTGCCTCTTTATGACTTTATTGTCGTGAAATTTGACTACAGGATTAGAAAGTGACAAAGTTGATTCAAGCAGGGGTTTTTTGTTTTTTGTTTTTTGAATATCATTTTTGCTCTAGAAGACTCAACTCTCGGTGAGCACTTTTCAAAAGCATCCCTTCCTTTTTTTATTGTTTTGTGGAAACCGGTTAAGGTCTGTGCACCATATGTTTATGTAGCATTGTGCCTAAATGTATCTGCGTGAGTTTGTATTTAAGTTTAGTCTGTACTGTTTATTAAAAAAGAATGAAAAACTTGTCACCTGTTGTAAAATGACCAAACATAGTCATTTTATAATTTATCAATCAGTAGATAAACATATATCTTCTTTTTTTTTTTAAGTTAAATCTCATCTGAGAAATGCAAAAAGAAAGTATGGCTGTATGTTTGGCTAAGCTAAGCTAACTAACTGCATGTCTTTGAGTTTTACGAGTTGACCTGACATCCTGGATAAAAATGATGATGCATGTGAAATGGCTACAAATGCTTGGACCACATGAGCACTGACTGATTTGATCATCAACACATATCTCTTGAAGAATTTCTTCCTTTCATCTAAGAATATAACGCATAACTAGAATTGCTGCGGCTCCATAATTTATTTATTTTTTAAAAGTCATATTTTTTAATGGAAGTGATGGAAATTTTAGGATAAACAGGCAAAAGTTTTTCTGAGAATGAAGTCTAATTTCAAGTCAGCATGGGAGGTCTCCACCCGCTCCACCCCAGAGCAAGAGGTGTGAGTTTGGATTTGGTGAACTCTCCCCTGCTCTCCCACCCCCTGTTCATCATCCTCCCCTCCCCTGAGGTGTATGCTGGCTGCTCTACTCCCCCTCAACAGCCTCCCATCCATCACTCCTACAATTTCACTTTAATAGGTGGTCCTCTTCCTCCTTTCACACAGCCTTATGGGAAAATTCGGCCAAAGAGAACAGCAAAGACAGCAGGGGGTGAAAAGTATAGGATTAGATGCTGATGAAGATATTTACCAATAACTTTCTACGACACGTGAACTTCATTATTCATGCAAAAATAAATAGCTTTATGCGCTATTTATTTTGGACTAAAGCTATCATTTGTGTCATTAAATGCTCAATCACAAACAAGTCAACAAATGCAATAAATTTACCTTTGAATGCCATCTTTTACCATTAAGCCCTCTGGATTTGTGTGGTTTTCTGTTTCTGGGATAAGCTGCCTTATATTAGATACTATACTATAATAATTTTATACTATAGCCTTGCTTTGTTGTTGCTTCTCAGTTTGCTTTCCAACCATGAACCCAAAGCCTGAACACGTTTGCACCACAGCATACCGGACGAGCTGAAGCCGAGCTGCCGCAGTAGCCCCTCCATTCAAACAGAAGGCAGGTTTGGTTGATATTTAAATTGCCTCTGTTTATTTTTCTTCTGGTCCCGTGTGTGCATGTGAGCCCAGTATAAAGGACATGTCCTTTTGAAGGGGATAGCACCAGGAAAGTGAGGGGGAAGGAAACCTTGCTTTGGTGTTTTATATATCAGCGGAATGACTTCCCTCAAATAAAGACGTGTTCCATTCTGCCGGTGGGTCTGGAACAAGCTGCTCGTTTCCTGTCCTGAAAACTCTCAGTGTGCTCGAACAATGCTCCGGGCCAGAATAGAGGAGATGTCACGTCTCGAAGAGCCGGTGTGCTGCTTTTGTTTGACCGAAGGTTCAGCTTGAATCTCGTGTTTACAGTATTTGTGACATTTGAATGAACCGACACAATTGTGGCATTTGAATTAATATAAATGCTGAAACAATAGAGAAAGCGGCTTTTGAACTGTCATGTGGAACAAAAGGCAAACATAAACGTACCTGCCCCAGAGGGTTAAAAGTCTCTTTAAACTGGCTTTTCAGCCTAATATAGTAGCAGTGTTATAAATCTGATAATGGGGATTTTTTTTTAAAAGGTCTCCTGCAAGTAATTTATCTCAGATTCATCAGATTCATCTAAACAGTTACATTTCTACCAAAAGGCTTGGTCGCGCCACGGACAAAGGCTTCTCTTTGCCTCCCGTCTGCCAGGAGCTTGCCATGCAGAGTTTCTCACTCGCGCAGCCCCCTCATCAAATTACAGCCCTGCTCCCTCCTGTCATGTTGGCAAACAAAGGTCTTGAAGCGCACTCCCAGTGTAATTGCCTCTAATCTCAGACATAATGTGGTCTTTCATGTCAACTGGTTGCAGAGAAAAGGGAGCTGTTGTTCTCTCTCAGGCGTTTTTTTTTCTCTGCCCCTTGAGTTGCTCCACTTTCACTTTGAGAGAAGTCTTAAAGCTCTTTCACTTTGTTTTGTGGAATGAGAATTTTATTGTGATGTTGTGCAATTATTTTTTTTTTAAAGAAAAAGAAAAACAGCCTCAGATTCTACAGGCAAATGCTTGGTGCTGCAATTAAAATAAACACGATATGGACTCAAACCCAGAGAAATAGTTGAGCTCCACTTCTCCACCTTTGGCCTGAATTCTCTCTGTGGTGAGCATCAGGCAGCCTGCAGCTGGAAGTGTTTCTGTAGTTTGGCCAGGTGTCTCTTTGCGCTGCCCATGACAAGGCCTCAGCGGGGCCTGGGACTCGAGTCTAGGAGCAGGCTGAAGGCATTGAGAGAGCTGGCTGCCCCTCCGTGATCTAAAATCTCCCGCAGACCCACCTGACTGGTGGTCAGCTGTAACTGATACAACACGATAGCAGAGCTGGAGGGGGGAAGAGAGAAAATTAAGATGTGTGTGAGCATGTGGGGAAGAGGCAGGGAAATGTAGACATGTGGAGAAAAATGTGGGAAAAGAAAAGGAGAAAGGGGTTGATGGAAATTTTGGACAAATTCTTCGACTTAAAGAGGCCCATTGGTTGAAAATATGGAACACAGACTTTAATACGGTTTCCAGGGGCTTTGGCAAGCAAAGATGAACATATCAAGTAAAAAACACAGTATCTGATATCGGCGCTGTTCTCGATGGAGAGTGAGTGTGGGGTAAGAGGAGCTGCAGTGTTTCTAAAACCATTCAGCTGGGCTTTTTTAAGGGACCCAGCTGTGCGCCCTGGAGGTCCTGAGCTCTAACTGGGGAAAAATCAGCACAGTGAGGCCAGGCTGCCGCTTCAGAGCCTGGTTAGCCATGACCTGATGTTCCAGGAGGCTCGGCGAATTGATGGGCCCCAGGAGGGTTGTCACAAGGGCCAAAGAACAATCATCCATTCATCCCTGCAGCCACAGCGAGAGGGCAAACACTCTGCAGTCTCACAAAACTTGCAAAAAGGCTTCAAGTGCAAACTAGCAACACGTGATCGTTTTTGGTACTTGAAGTGGCACAGAAGTTTTGGTGAAAAATTAAATATTATAAATATTTTTAAATATTTTTATTGGGTATCATTTTGTTTCCACCGACATGGAAATTCTCAGGCAAGCAAACTTGGCTTTCAGTTTTGAAATTTTAAGAACTCCAAATACGCTTATATTATCCCATAAATACGGCTGGTATATTTTTGGATTATGTGGCTGAACTGGCTTGAGCCCATCACGCCTTATCTGTCACGACTACAAACTGCTGTTACATAAGACAGCTGAGCCGGTCCAGACATCAAGACCGGTCTTTATGTGGACAAAATGGGTGTGCTCACTGTGTCCCTTAGCCCAAATCCATTTACCATGTCTGCATCAGCCAACTTTTCTAATGCTTTAGTTGCTTCTTTTCAAAGTGTCTTTCACTCCCAAAGATGAGGGGCTCAGAGGTCAGCGGCGCATCGGTTACATTTTTCTGTGACTTATACCGGCCAGTTATTTATAGAGCAAGAACAAATATACAATGGAAGGCGAGTGGTGGGTAGGTTGGGTAGGAGGCAGGCTAAGCCCAGGAACATCTGTCCTTTCAAAGGCATCTCCTCCTTGGTATGCTCAGAATCCACTCCAGGGGTGTCGGCACTTCACTCTTAGTCAGAGAGCTGGCATGCTAGTCAAAACATAGATGAAAAGGAGGGGGAATGAACATCCTCATCCGAGCCTAATCTTCCATATCAAGAAGTGCAATGTATGTTTCCAAAGTCACCCAACTCTTAACAATACTAGGTTGGTCTTATGTAACAGACAACATTGTCCCCTTTTGTCAGTGCCGGGAAGAAACTTACAACAAAAGCGAAACACAAGGTGCAATAAGAGAAACCACAGTGAGGGGTTGCAGGATGGGGATGGGTGGGTGAGTCTGAGGACTGTTTCACTATAAACATGACTTTACCAGTTACGTTTTCTGCTGACACCAGTATAATTTTCCTTTTAAGAGCTGCAGCCACGCAGCAGCCACACGGCCTTACAGTTCGACTGGTCAATGGATAAAATAGAACTCATCTTTATGATTAATTCCACAGTTTGGCTTTGTGCTGTTTTTCATGTCCCGTGATGTCTTCTCTGATGAGGGCAGGATGTATGTATGTGTTTACGTGTACGCACAGACTCTGTTTAGTCTGCCTGCGTCAGAGATACTTCACGACACACTCATAAATTCAACAGCGATGGCAGTCCCACCCCGACCTCCCACTCTCTATTTCTTTGTGACAAGCATGAAAACAAGCAAACACACACAAACATTAGAATACACGCAAATGGCATGACGATGTCAACACCTTTATTGACCACAGAGAAAGGTGACTTCTGGGGAACTGAAGAAATAATTCATATAACATTCCTGTTTGACACAAACATAACAATATACTTACAGGACGGTTTAGTCAAAGTGCAGCACAGTAAGAAAGATCATCCAAAAATGATTCAGCTCGTAATGTTTATATATTTCATCCTCAAACTTGTTTCAGTCCAAGCTTTTATAAATTCATACATGTTGACTAATAGTGTTTTTATATAGCAAATAGCAAATAATAAAATAAAACAAAGCAAAACTGGTTAAAAAAAAAAAGAATTTGTTGTGAGATTTCTTCTTTTTCTTCTCGTCTTCTTCTTCCTATGGCCCTGGTGTGTTTTACTTTCTCAGCCATGCTCTGCAGAACAAGTGAGGGCACTTTGAGGATGAATAGCAGACTAAATAAACTTGCTGAAAGCAGCAATGTCACATACTTGAACTGAAGGAGAGATGTAATATTCATGAATCTGTAAACCTCTATAATGTCTGCTCACGGAAAATTTCCAAACCTATTATGTAAATTCCATCACAAAATTAATAATTCATTCATTTTAAGTATTTAAGATTTGTGACAGAGTTATCGTTATTATCATAATCCTGAAAGTAAAGCCAACAAATATCTGTTCCAGGCCCTATTTTTCGGGGCTGCTTTGATGTTTTAAAACACGTGTAAATCTTTAACATAACAAAACATATTTTTCGGGTTTTTTTTTTTTTTTTTTACTGTGAATAAAATGTAACCTGCCAGCTTTAAGGCAGATTGTGGATTGATCCAAATTTGAACATGTTTAATTTCACATGTAAATTAGCCATGACGTCTGTTAAATAGAAGTAGTGTAAAAATAGCTCACTCATTACTTTAAAATCGTCATAAAAACAAGTGATTCGCCTTTCCGCTCCGGTTATCCGACAATCCTTAAGTTTAAAAAGTTACTATACAATCAAAGCAGCTGAACCTCGACTCACCTCATTATGTTTTTAATCCACTGTAGGCTCTGAAGGCGGTCTACGCCACCTCTTCAGGTCGCGCTAAATTCCGTGACCTGATCCTGGTTTGTGCGTAACTGTCAGCGACGAGGGGAGAGGCATCAATTAGAGATCTAATACAGTCCCGATGGGGTGGACTGCGCCGCGCTGGATCTGCGCCATCTCTAAACATCAACACACACCCAACATTAAGGTCTGGCCTTAAGGGAATACATGCTTTTAGAAAAAAGCATATACTAGATAAACCCCACAGGCCTAATCTTTATTTTATTTTATTAAAATCCCTTAATTAGAGGGGGAAAATAGGACTTGTCTCTTTTACATAAAAAATGGGCTGTATTTATTTAAAATTGAACACGGAAATTGTTAACCTTTTAGCATACTTTTAAAGAGGAAATTTTTATTCTAAATCCTATTTATAGGGAAATCATATTTATATTTTTGTTTTAGTTCAGTTGTGTTTTGTTTGAAATTTGTCCATAATGTGTGTACTAAGCTGGGCTATATCTTGTAATAATTGAGAGTAAAATTTCAGTGCACTTTGAGTAGTCCAACATAACATCAATATTTGGCCTAGTTCGTTGTTTTCATTATTTTTCTTTTACATCATTGTAAAAGCCAAAACACAATCACACACTTCCACACTAAAATACTTTTATTCCTACTGTAAGATATTTATTTATATAACAAAATAAATGTTTGTAGGTTTTACGTTTATCTAAAATAAATAAATTAAAATAATGCCCCTCCTTTTTTTTCTTCTTTCTTTACAAAAATCAGAAATTATGTTAAATAACAACTTGTGAATATTAACAAATCATCTTGGCTCAATATATTACGCAAATGGAAAATTTAAACAGAGTTGTCAAATGCCTGTGTCAAAAAAAAAAAAAAAAAAATTCACCCTATAATTACATTTTAAGAATGGTGGAAGGGGCCTGCAGTGAACTTGGGCCTCACCAGAGACTCAGATGTACTCTCACACAGTTGCACTGCTGTAAATAATAAATGTCATATCCACGAGCACCAAAATCAGGGGTCAGGATCAGGGTGCGTGACTGCTCAGTCATGTTATTGAAAGCATGTATACTGAATGTGGGTTACTTTTTAAATTGCACAAAAAATATGGAGCATATTATCACTCTAGTATATCATCCAGTCGCCTATTGTTAAATTATAAAAAACTGCTTCTGAAGTGTAACACAATCAACAGAATCTGCCAGTTTTTCAGGATGGGGAAAGATCAGTAAGCAGCATGTTGTCACTTGTCTAGTAGCGTAGTGCCACACAATATCAGCAGACTGTAAACAATAGCAGCAGCATTCTTATAACAACCGCTGAGGTGACCTATGGAGTAAAATATTTTTGGCTGAGTGAAAACAACAGGTTTAATTAGAGAGAGAGTGAATGCGTTGAAACGCACAGAGACGTTTGCAGGATTTCCACTTGAACTGAAATGTGATATCCAACACATGCCATGGAACTTCTATTCTTCATCTGCCCATGCTTGTCTTTGATGCTGTTGCCAAAGCTGTCAGTGCAATAAACTTCTATGAACCTGTGGAGATATGCATTACTGAGATATTACACTTCAATTCATTTCAGTGACAAACAATTATTGTGAGTGGTTTTAAGATCAAAAGCAAAAACTTGTTTGACACTGAAATAACAGGGTCATACTAGCATCTAGTGCTCTTTGTAGGTATTATTTTTATTTTATTTTACCATTTATTTATTTATGGATCCACTTTTTTTTTTCTTTAATTTGCATTGAAAAAAATTAAAGCTGGAAGTTTAAATCATATTTTTACGCTTTTTTCTAAAGGTATTTGATTAAAAAGTGGTCAATATCTCTTTTCAAAGAGATTAACCATCAATTAAATCTCAACTGCTCAGACCTAAGAGACGTCTATGAGCTTTGTCCCGAGCTTTTGAGCTGTAGCTCGGTGATTTAGGTTGAACTTTGTAATCTTCAGGTCAACATCAACATTGTTTCAAGGTGGCACAGCGAAGCGGTGTTGATGACACATTTTGAAACATTGGATCTGAGCACTAATTGAGGTTATAACCTTAAAAAAACCCTTCTACTTGCCTTATCAAGTACTATTGTTTTGTCTATGAAGATGCCAAATGAAACAAAACAAGTAGACTGTCAACTATAGGAAAAACAGAAACAAACCTACTACTCATCCATATCCCACGCTTATGGTCTGAACTATGCAACGCACCAAATATTTAGAGTAATAGCTAGTTACTGTGCTATCACCAACACCCAGAGCTGTCAATCTGTACCCTGGAGCTAATTAAAAGGGCTGTGGCATTTTAATTGTTTGCATACACTTTGAAGGCAGACTGGAACAGTCAGGTGAAGGGCATGGCAAGCATGCCATGCCTCCTTAAATCACTCCCCTGTGCCAAAATGCTGACACCAGACCAAAAATGCTTTTAAAAAAAGGCCCTCTGTGTGGCCATAAAAGACATAGGGAGAAAGAATCATGATGAACATATTTTAAATATGTGATTTAATTAAATGGCAAATCATCAGCTTGTTCAGTTTTTTCATTAATGATATCACCTGTGTGCTAAAGCCCATTTGCCTTCCATGAAATGCCATTCAGACACTCCAAATGACATAAAACATGTTCAAGAAATGTCATTACTTACAGTGTTATCCAGGGCTTGCGTCCCATCACCAGCATGTGTGTGGCTTCATCTTCTGCTCACTACATTTCTTTGGCTTTGTCACTTCTGCCGTTGTTCCCTTGCTTTTCTACCTTCTGAATGTCCTGACACTAAGATGGAGCTGGCATGGAATACAAGACACATTCTAATTGTGTTGCATGGGACCCCAGGGCATTAGCTGCTCTGGCCTTATGGCTCTCTGCTGCCACCTGTCTGTTCCTAAAAGATCACATGAAGAGCTTGCATGAAGACCTGCAGAATTTGCTGAGTAATGCAAAGAGATCACATTAAAGTCGTTTGCTGTTGTAATTTTTTTTATTGCAATCAAATGTCAAAATTTGACTTTGTCAGTATGATGAGGGGAAATTCAATTTCCTTTATTCTACACTTTTATGGGCCCCAAAACTGATACACGGCTTTGTTACTTTAAAAGTACTGTATGTTTTACCTTGAAAGATTTCTACAAATAATCACATGATCTCGCTCTATGTCTAAAGACCTCATGTGAAAAAATGGGAATGTTAAGTGACCGGACTTGCATGAAACATAAAAACAAAACAATTTCATTAACTCTAAAGAGCGGCAGAAAATGTATCTGTAAAAGAGCGTTTGCAGATTAAACCCCTGCTTTGTATGATGTGATAGCCCAACAGGAAGCCATTGAAACTCCAACATAAATAGTAATCAGGCCATGGGTAAACCAATCAGCAGCGCTGTTTCAAAATATGCACCAATCAATTAGCAAATGTATTTTCTTTCAAATGTGCAGACCAAATCAAAGCATTTCAGGAAACAAGTTACGGCTAATCTACGTTTTGTTTTTTGTATCTAAGGCTCTCGTTGCAGTTTGCACTCTCAACCTCCTAGATTTAAAATCTCAAAAATGTGTTTACATTGCAGAGATTTTAATCATTTGTTCAATCATATGTGTATAAAGAGGATTTGCAGTGAGTGCCTTTATATTTTTTGCAGTTACCACCAACTGTGCTCATTTTCTTCTCACACTTTCTCTGTTGGCAATGTCTTCTCATAAGCTCTGCAGACACTGAGCAGTTAATCAAAGGCTGATTATCTCTTGTTCATTACTGCTGTTTAAATTTAAAACGCTTTCGTTACCGAGTTTCTTTACAGGTTTTGGAAGCCAGCCTCTTGGCTTCATATGTACTCCAGTCCCACTCACACACAGCTGTCTTCCAGGCTCCATCACCTGCATCCAGCTGCAAACCACAAACAGATTGCAGTATTCCCCCGGAGGGAGATTTTGTGCAGTCGGGTCATCATCGGCACGAAAGATGAAGGGGCAATATATTAAGTAAAACCTCACTGCTCATCAACCAAGGACATTTTGCACAACACTAAGCCCCTGTGCCAGTAAGGACTGACACAGTAGTAGCTAACAATGTTGTCAGAGCATGTGACAACATTTCCCAGACCACTAAACATTGAAAACAGACCAACGAGGCAACATACTGCTTTGATTTACTTATTTGAAAAATAGCTTTGGAATGAATATCCTCGTCCAGTTGTTCCTATGTGGCTGCCATACAAGTAGGGGATAAAAGGAAACATGATTTCTTATTTTAAGCGCAGGAAATGAGACAATGACAGGAGACAAATTTATCACATATTGATGTGATTGTGGCGATAAATGCGTTCTGGATGGTGATTTTATTGTCTCTCAGTGGACACATCTTCTCGTAGTTATCCCATTCATAAAAAATCTCTCATGCTTGTGTTTTAATGTGTCATCTCACGTCTGCGTGACAACAGGACGGGATCAGATCAGCTTCCATGTCTTTCACTACATGCATTGTTTGGCTGAGTCTGTGTTGCCCTTTTACCACAGCTATTTTTATTTAGTAGGATAGCCATTTGACTTGTTTTAAGAAGAAACAGGCTCAGTCCTTTGTGGTGACAAATATCTGAAGTATAGCTTTAACTTACAGTAATAATCATTTGAACTAATGTGTAGCCAAGCCCCTACTCCGATTTCTCTGAAAACGGGCAACAGCAGGAGAAAATCCTCGTGTGAATCACTGCAGAGTTCTAATTTAATCTCATACGAAATGTAAATACAGCTGCTGGATTCAAAATTATTTGACTACAATCGTCCAAAATTTTCTTTTAAAATTTATCAACTCAGCCAAAATCCATATTATACATAGCACACCTGCCCTATGTGCGAACAAATATTTTAATCAGCCGCATCTGGGAAATCTGCACCAAGCACTCATCAAGGCTAGCAGAGTTTTGCCTTGTCAAAACAGACTGATTGCCCTCCATTTGATTTTCCTAAACCCTGCAAACACCAATGTGGAACTTCTGTTGAGAGCGAGAGGAGGGCAGTTGAATAAACAGGATTACTTGCTATGGCAACACCTGCAAGCAGCACGTGCGAGCAGGAGAGGGAAAAGGATCCTGGTTAACTGCTGCAGATAATGACGCTGCTATATTTATATTTGTCTTTGGCAAGGGATCCTCAGCCATTCTACTCCAAACCACAGCCAGCGTTTTTTGTTTTTTTTTAGTCTGAACAGTGCCAGTACGTCTCTTAGCTCAGTGTTAGAGTGAAACACAACAGAGGAGTTTCAAAATACTCACACAGCCAGTGTTGAAGCTGAGTCTGCAGCGTGCCAGTGAATCAAAGCAATAATGTGGCAAACAAAGAGTGAACACACGTGAACACAGTAGAATGTCTTTAATTATGATAATGACGCGGTGATTAGTCCATACATTCATGTGATTACGATGTACCACCTTCCAACGTTGTGTATGCTCATTTGTATATTGGGGAAAGAAGCGTGCATTTTCCAGAATCCCAGCTAAAGAAAAGCTTAAAGACCAGGAGGGAGCTGCCAAATGTGTGGTTTCAGAAAGGGAGACCTGATGGACCACCAAATGCAGGAAGGGTATGCTATCGGATTTCCTCAGAGCCCAAACAAAAACACTGTTTTTAACGCAAATTGAGTTATTAATTGTGGAAGGAAATCATCGGCGCTTAAAGAAAACCACACAATACACAAACAAACATATTTATGGTGTAGAAACACATAGTGTGAAAGTGGTCACTGATGATGACGAGCCCACAGGCTCCATTTGTTGACAAATCTTTTGGGGCTTTCTGTGGTCTTTTAGCTCAGTGTTTCAGTTTTTACACAACAGTTGAACTGATTAATTTCACTCATTAACATTCCTTTCAATGGGAAGCTATGGTTGGAAAAAAAAGACCAGTGAAGTTATATTAACAAACTTAGTTAGTTCCCTGGAAAATACCCAAAGGATGATCCCAATTTATCCATCAGTCAGGACAGCAGATAATACCTACCCTCCCAGGTTCAAGGTCAAATTCAGGTGGAGCTCCCGTTTGACGCCATAGAACTAAAATCCCACTAAACAGGCCCCTTTTTCTAAATAACTCTGTGACCCAGAGGTCCCAGACAGTACGCCAGGCTGTGTTCTGGGCCCGTTTATCAAGGCTTTTCCGCTCCATCGGTGCAAGCATTGTGCCAAAAAAGATGGCCACTATCAAACGAGATGGAGAATATGAGGTGAGAAAGGGCAAAGTGATGTGAAAACAAAGAGAGTGGACAAGAGATAAGGTGTCAGACAAAGAGATAGCGAGAGCAGCAAAGTGAAAAATGTGTTATCACCATGCCTGTTCATCACAAGCTCAGGTCAGAGGGGCGTGAACCGCGAGTTGGCAGAGCTAAGAGCAGGGGCTAGTTGGAATATGTGTGGGGCCATAGGAAGTGCTGTGTGGAGAAGATAACAGAGTGCAAATGTGTATGGGTGTGTGTGCGTGTGTGTGATGGAGAGGAGGCATGGGAGGTGGAGTGGGGGAGTAGAGTGAGTAACAGTGTCCATAGCTCTGCCCCGCTTTCCTCTATTCACTGCCCGCATCCTGTCTGCGTGCTGCTCCTTAATGGCTTTTAATGAGCCACCGGTGAATCGTGCTCCTTCCTGCTTTCGCACATACCAGGCAAGAGCAAGCGAAGGGAAGAGAAAGAGTGAGAGAGAGTTGATCAGTCAACATCACAGGCTCCTGTGGTGGTCACTCGCTCCCCTCCACAAGTCTGCGAAACCATCCATTAAAGGACCATGGCGACTAAAATGATACACTAAGGTCATGATGAGAGGGTCCCACCCTGGGTGTACACAGTGCACTGTAAAAAAGGCAAGACGTTCAAAAGTATTTCACATATTTGTCTTTTTCAGTACTTGTTTCCAGAGAAAAGAAAGATGTGAGCCTGGTTGTTTGGATTTTGCAACCATTTCTTTCCAACCAATCAGACACGGTATATAAAAATAAGAAATCCATAGATAGAATTCCTCTATCGCTTTTGCTCAGTATCTGATAATCAGGAGAAAAAAATACACAAGAAAAATGTAGAAATATAAACATTCATAATTTCTTAATTAACATGCAATTTCAAGTCTGCTCTCAAGAGAACTTAACATTAAAAATTGCCGTTTTCTGCTATTAATTTATTATGTAGTATTGTCTTCAATTACTTATTTAGAATCTACTAATTAGGAATCCCTGATTTTCTAATATTACTAAGTTAAGTGTGCAGGTTGAACCTTTGCAATTTGTCACTCGTGTAGAAAGGTATGAAGCACTCTTTAACACCACCTTAAATGTCACGCTCTCATTTGCTCTCCTCTGTCTGCTTTCCCACTGGCGGGATTTCATAGCTCACAGTGTCTCGTCATTGTGATAGATGACAGGTGAGAGAGTTTCTCTGATCCCTCTGACACTCTGTAATCGAGTTAAGAACGCTGGATTAGAGGCTCCTTTTGAAAGGAACTGAGGTCAGCTCTCTATTCTGCTTGATGCATAGCTTCAGAGAGTAAGAAAAGTCCTGACATTAATTGCAGGAATGTGTGTGTGTGTGTGTGTGTGTGTGTGTGTGTGTGTGTGTGTGTGTGTGTGTGTGTGTGTGTGTGTGTGTGTGTGCGAGAGACAGGGAAAGGGGAGGGAAAGAGGCACACATAGTTCATGTAGAGGAAAATGTGTGGGGCCTAGAGGGTGCTCTGAGTACCGAGGCCCGCCCCCCTCGGTTACTGTTGCTATCGCTGTCAATCTTTCCATTTTTGCCTCAGCAAAAGAGTGGTTTG